TAGTCACCTACCCTTGTAAATGAGAGAATCAGTGTAGACGTATTTTTACCTAAGGTTGTATCAACTTTGAAAATAAGGCATTTATTCAATTTACCTTTTATCGAGCAAAGCAATCGTCTCCTTTTTGCCATTTACAGGAGAAAAATCCAAGTGTTTGCCAGACCAAGAAAGAGTTAGAAGATTCACCTAGGCGTAGCAGTCATATGTCAACTTTCTTAGCACTTGGGCCGATTTTTGGTGTCCAAGTGGTCTCAAACCTGCTATCAAGAGCAATAGTTTTCTTCAAATAAGTTCCATTGCATTTAGCTTTCTGGAATATGTTAATGCATTTGGAAATGCAATTTGCTTATTTGTCCCCTGTCAAGTGAGTGCCAGCTGTGGTTAGTTTGACTGTTCTTCAATTTGGCGAACTGTCAGATGTTTTGTTGCATTTCTATGGCAAATTTACTCATAATCCATCTCCTTATCCACTTGACGACCTGATTGATATTTAACACTCACGATGTTAGTTGTTTTTAAGAATCTAAGCAAATTCTTATGCTTGCAAATTAATTGGCCTAACATATGGAATGTCAAGTGACCATTTTTTGCATAAGTGTATTCGTATAGCAAGTTAGATAAACATAGGGAAATTTGCAGTGTTCAGTACTTTTTGGTTGTCAGTATAGAGTATTTAACAGTAAGTAGGCTTTCGAATGATGACAAATTTTCTACATGCCTAAATTCATATTTGCGAACATGGGAAGGGCTAATATTTTATAGTGGAAACATGACTTCTCTTCATGACCTGAAAGGCGACTAATGTACTCATTTCCACACGGACTATATGCAAGGGCAATGTGTATTTTCATCTTTTAAGAGCTAACCAAAGTGCGAAGCAGCCGAAGTGCTTTTGTTACGTAGGGGAACAAAGTTGGATAGTAAATAAAAAGACGAATTTGAAGCTGATCACATTTCTGGGTTTTATAGTGATTTCTTGGGCTTTTTCGCATTCATCTCTCAAACTTGTGGAATAACTCATCATGTGTGAGAGTCAGGACGGTAATAACG